AACAGCCCGGGAGTAGGGTTTCGCGAGACCCTTGGCCGGGGGGCTCTGGGCCAGAAGCCCTTGGCTGCTGGTTGTCGCCCGCGCTCATCCATGCGTGTGCCGGAGCCCGGCAGAGTGGTCAAAGGGCGCGGGCTCCCGAGCCCCCAACGGCCACGCCCCTGGGCCCGGAGCTGGGGTGCCCCTCTCAGTGATGCTCTGAAGGCGGCGATGAAGATGCCGCCCACCGGGCCAGGCGGCACTTGTCCAAAAGCCCTTCAGGGGGGCGGGGCGAGGGGGGGGGGGGGGGAGGGGGAGCGGGCCACAACTTGTTGACCTGGGAGCGTGGGCGCTCCCCCCCCCCCCCGCCCTCCGACCGCCGGTGGATGTGCTCGGCGGTCACGCTGACAAGAAAGTCTCTTCGGCTGGCCTGCTTCTCGTGTCGGGCTTCGGCCGATCTTGACACACCATGCTTCCTCCCTCCCCCTCCTCCCGTCTTTCTCTCGTTCGCTCTTCTCTCTCTCTCTCTCTCTCTCTCTCCCTCTCTACCCCGTCCCCTATCCCCTTCGCGCTGCATTTGCTTCGCGTCCCTCCCCTCCCCCCAGGGCAGCGTCCTTCTCCGACTGGGGCGGCTTAGCCTCCTCCCCCATACGTTTTTTCTTCTCCCCCTCCTGCGCCGTTGCACACCCCGGGTCCCGGCCCCTGCATTGATGGGCACCGTTCCCTCCTTGTCGCTCCGCTCCACGGTACCTCTTCATATGCCATCTCGCCCGTGTCGACCCGAGGAATGTCCCATCTAACACCATTTCCGGCCCTGTTCCTCGTCTTCTCTCTCTCTCTCTCTCTCGCTCGCTCGCTCGCTCGCACCCCTTGTCTCTGTGTCTTCGTGCCTCCGTCTCGGCCCCTTCCTCGCCTTGTCAAAAAGGCTGCCTGAAGACCATGTTCCTCCACAGTGCCCGCCCCACGCCCGGGCGCTCGCTCGCGACCCCCTCCCGCTTCCTGGCTGCCTGCCTGGCGATGGTGCTGGTGTTCCTCTGCTGCTCTCCTGTTGCCGCATCGGTTGTCGACCTTCGCACGAACACCACCCACGTCTCGCGCCAGGCCATCTTCGGGCCACAGCTTACTACCACCGGCGTTCAGGGGCTCATTGTCCCGCTGGAGCACATGAACACCTCCGCCTCCCCAGTCGACATTTATGCATGCGCCCCCTTTGTGCCTCGGCCCGGCACTCCCGTATGTTCTCAATGCTCTTTCTCTCTCTCTCTCCCTCCCTCCCTCTCTCTCTCTCTTCCCCCCTTCCTTCCCTTCGCACACGCACACATACATGCATTCCCCGGTTGATGCATCCTTCCCATGAGCATGGGCCTTTTCCTTCCTGCTTTGTCCAGCTTCTCAGCCTAATCCCCTCCCCC